GTCGTTTCCGGCGGTACTTGCTGAAAATGCAGCGGCTTTTTTGTCAATGGCTGCGTAGATGCGGTACCGAAAACGGAGAGTGCCGGCTTCGACACAGCTGGCATCGGCTGGCGTCGCGGGGAGATATGATGCGCGTGTAGCTATTGTAAACCGGAGCGAGTATTTGTATTGCCCTGTCGGTGGCGATGCAGGTCAGCTCGAGTCCATACATCAGCCGGCTGTCTACGATGGCCCGGGAAACACGAAAAACGTACTTCTCTGTTGTTGGACCGGTGGGGACGGGAGATTGTGCGGACGAGGTTGATCCTGCTGCGACAGCTGGCCCTTGAAGGCGCTGGTCAAAACTCAGCGACCAGTCAATGACAACCTCACACGGAGAACAAATTTATTTATTTATTTATTTATTTATTTATTAGTCGTCAATCAGTGTAGACCGTTTTACAGTTTTACTTAAACGCTAATTGTTACAATTTTACTTCAATTACTTGCATAGCATTTATATTTTATTATTGATGCCTAGCTAACCTCGTGAAGAAAGTTTTTTTAAGCGTACTTTTATTCATTGTTATGTCAATATATTCACAGTATGTATTATAGCAAGACATCATTCTATTCAATGGGCTGTTTTTGGCATAGTCTGTTCTTTGATTGTTGATGCTAAACAAATTTCTATTCCGCAGTGAGCGAGTGGGAGCATAAAAATTGATATTTTCCAAAATCTCTGGACTGTTAACTCTTTGCGAAATCACATCGTTTATAAAAGCAATCATTGCGAACTCTCTTCGCTTTTTGAGCTCATCTAAATTAATTAGCATACAACGCGATTCATAAGATGGAAGTGGAAAACTCGTCCAACCCAACTTTCTTAGAGCGAACAACAAGAACTGCTTTTGAACTGATTCAATGCGGTTTACATGTGTATCATGATATGGAGCCCAAACTATGCTACAATATTCGAGAAGAGGCCTCACATATGCTACGTAAAGTGTTTTGATTGTGTAGGGATCATTGAAGTGCAAACTAAATCTTTTAATGAACCCGAGCATGTTGCTTGCTTTGTAGATAATGTTATTGTAGTGATCAGCAAAAGTTAACTTGGAGTCGAGGATAACACCTAAGTCTCTGACTTGATAGGATCTTTGGATTGTTTTCTGGCCAAGAGTAATTGTGTCGTGTATTACAGCTTGCTTTCTTGTGAACGATATAGAATTGCATTTATTAATATTTAGTTCTAACAAATTTTTCTTACACCATGTGTAAAAAACGTCAATTTCTTGTTGAAATATTTGAAGATCAGGTGCTTTAGATATCTCCATGAAAAGTTTCATGTCATCAGCATATATAGAAACATGAAGAAATTTAAAAATATGTTCTATATCGTTGACAAATAAAATAAACAGTAATGGACCAAGATGTGAACCTTGTGGCACACCAGATGTTACATTAACTATGGTGGACAGATTTCCTTCAAATCTTACCTTTTGCGTCCGCCTTGATAAGTACGACTCGATCCATTTCAGTAGCCTAGGACTGAAGCCTAATTTGGATAGCTTAAAAAGCAAGAGTGGTATATCAACTCTGTCAAATGCTTTACTGAAATCAGTATATAGCGTTTCTACATAATTTCCTTTATCCATTGAGTTTAAACAGTATGACACAAAATGTATCAAGTTGGTAGTTGTAGATCGTCCTTTAACAAATCCGTGCTGTTTGCTAGTAATTACCGACCTAATCTGTAAGAATACATTGTCATTAATGATGGATTCGAATAATTTAGGAATGCTTGATAATATAGCAACTCCACGGTAATTATAATTCGTTAAGTTAAGATAACAATCCTAATAGTTACTTTCACATGGAAAAATATTGTTGTTTGAAAGAAACCTATAGTTATTCTAACATTAATTTGACCATCAACTCAATCATATCTACCTAATAGATTCAACTGTTCATCTTATACTCAATTCAACTATAACTTTGATCAACTACAACAACCGTCAAATGTAATTTAGTTATATAATTAGGTTTCAAGTGATCATCATAAATCCACATACTTTTAACTTGTGATGCGTAGAGCAGGCAATAAGACAGCTGGCTCTCACGCAAATGAACAAGGTTCAAATCTTAGTTGAATGTTCTTGTTCACCTTTTTTATGATTTTGCAGTTGTGTTTTTGAAATCGATAAAGAAGCAAAACAAACTTCCTTAATATGTCGATAATGAAGAGCAGTTCGTTTAATAAACATTGTACAATTTTGCTTACCTAACAAAAGTTTTCTTGGATCAACTAAAGCATAGTTGTATTTTGAAGTTTGACGTTTGTTCATCTACTGAAAAATATAGTTGAGCCAACCGAGGAACCAACTATGGACTATAGTTGTTGCTCTCTATATATAGTTAAATCAACTATAGTATCGGGTTATCTCTAAAACAATTGAACAATATAGTTATTTTGACCGGAAAAATAATTTCGTCTGCTATAATTTGTTCTCCGTGCAAGCAGTTTCACTGTTTTCTTCAATGGTATAGCTTGATTACCGATCTTTATGGAAGGTCCGCAGACCCGATGTCGGTACTGACAAACGTGGCAGCTAGCGCTCTTTCCAGCAGACAGCTGAAAACCTTTCGAAGTGGCCCATCTTGCTACGGCGGAAACCCCTGCTTGGGCTCTAATCCTCGTTTGTCCCGGAGTTTGACCTGTGTACACGAAAATGGAGTCGTCTGCGTACACGAAAATGTAGATGTTCGCTGGTAACCGATCGAAGACACTGTTCATGGCTACCAGGAATAAGGTGACAGCGATCACTGATCCTTGGAGAACGCCGGTTTCCTCGCAGAAAGTGCGGGATTTGGAGAAAGTGCGAGACTCGGAAGGATCTGCCAGTCAGGAAATTTTGGACGAAATGGATGATACGGCCGCTAAGGCCCCAGCTGACGAGTTGCTTTAGTACCGCGGGCGTCCATGCACGGTTGAAGGCTTTCGCAATGTCCAGGGAAACCAACTCCAACAGGAGCTCTCCTAGCGTCGCAAAATACGTGGATGTACCGTGGCCTTGTCGGAATGCGTGTTGGCGATGGTCTAGGAGGCTGCCAGACTCGAGAAACTGCTTCAGGCGTCGGTTGACCATCCGCTCGAACACCTTTGCCATGCAGCAGGTGAGGGCAATGGGTCGGAACTTCGCCATGTCTGCGAGTCGGTTCGTTTGCTTTACCAAGCTCTCCATCCAATGCTCTGGATACGAGTCTGTTTGCCAAAGCTGGTTGAAGAGTTCCAGCATTTTTACTTTACCCGGGGTAGGCAGGTTCTTGAGCAGGGGGTAGCCGATCCCGTCTGGGCCGGCTGATTTTCAGTTGCTTCTACTAAGCGCGAACTGAAGCTCCTGCCAGGTGAAGTCGTGGTTGATCCTCAGGTTGTTCGTGTCCGGAAAAACTCAAAAACCGCTTACGGACGAAGTCGATGGGTTTGTTTTCTCGGCAGCAATCATTGTGTGGTCCTCCTCATTGTTCTTCATCAGCAGTTCTTTCGGTCGATGCGTCGTCGACTTTGGAAAGCAACCGTTTAGTGATGAGTGTGTGAGTGTTGACCACGTTTTGCGTCCATTGCTGCAATGGACGCGCTCTGACCCTCGTTGGCGTACAACAATTTGCCAATCCAGTTCTGATGGAGGAGGCTTTTTGGATAGCCGAAGATAAAGTGTTTATTGTGTTGTACTTTTTGACTATAGTTTTGAGATGTATTGTATAGTGACCAAGAATCCTCGGCTCTGTAAAGTTAATTCGGTTGAGCCTTATCAAATAAATTAATAAAGAGCAACGATTGCGGGGTCGGAGAGCGCAGCGCCGTCTACCTGTATATGCAGTGTGGCCGTACGGCGCTTGCCACTGAGTGCGTTGACCTTACCCCAGAGCTCCGCCGAAGACTGTGAGGCATTTATGCTTTCGAGGAAGTCCGTCCAACTGGATCGTTTGGCATCTCGGATCAATTGGCGACACTGGTTGTGCCGTTCTCGATAGGTACAGAGCGCGTTTTCCCTATCCGGATCATCGATGGGAAGCCGTTTTACTCGTCGAAGGGCTTTTCGCCCACTTCTTCGTTTCCTCGTTCCACCATCTGAGGGCTTTACGCGCCGGAATGCAACTGGTTTTCGGGATGGTTGCTGACGTTTATTGCTGCAGTGAGATTCTCGATGCTGTCAGGGTTACGTTGTTGAAGGAGCGACTGGAAGGTTTCACCGTACCTCTCCCAATCGGCTTCGTCATAGCTCCACCGAGGTTTCCGCGTTGCTGCCGGTATATCGGCGGCAAAAAGTTGCACCTGAACCGGGTAATGATCGCTACCGTAGAGGTCCGGATTGGCGCTCCACTGCATTCTTCCAGCAAGGGAACGAATAACAGCAGTTACATCGATCGCCTTGGTGTGTCGTCCATTGAAAAAGGTCAACGATCATTAAGGTTTATCATATCCTCCCTTTCAAACTTGTCTACCAGTGTGGAACCTCTCGAGTCGAGCCGGGGCACCCCCAGCTAAAGTGGTGTGCGTTCAAGTCACCCAAAAAAAATACCCATTTCATACTAATCTTGAGACAGATGACCAGGTTCGTAATTTAAATACCGTTGAAATCTCCAGGATATGTCTACCTGCATTGTGAATGCATATTTCCGGAGTGATTTGAGATTTGGGCGTAATTGTATTTGTAAACAAACAGGTCAATCGCCGATTTCTCGTTAATAAAAGCTCAATCTTATAAACAAACTATACCAAATGATAGAGGAATCATACCTCTACCGCATAGTGTTATTAGTTTTCAAAATTGAGCCTTTATTCGCGAAAAATCGGTGATTGACGTGTTTGTTTACAAACACAATTACGCCCAAATCTCAAATCACTCCGGATTTATGTTCCTAAATGGTGGAGACGCGCCGTGCTTCACATGTATTGTCATTTCAAATCCCAGCATAAGCACTGTTCTTAATCAGCATCTTTTTTCTCCACCCCGCAGGCCTTTAAGTTGCACAATCTGGACCAGGGTCCGGCAACGACCGTCACCGTCAGCAAGGAGGATGCCCTGAAGTACTACAGCCAGATGTACGCGATCCGTCGCATGGAAACGGCCGCCGGCAACCTGTACAAGGAGAAGATCATCCGTGGATTCTGCCATCTGTACTCGGGTCAGGAAGCGTGCGCCGTCGGAATGCGTGCCGCCATGCGTCCGGAGGATTCATGCATCACGGCTTACCGTTGCCACGGCTGGTCGTACCTGATGGGCGTTCCGATGCAAGGCGTTCTGTCCGAACTGACCGGTCGTCAGGGTGGATGCGCTCGCGGAAAGGGAGGCAGTATGCACATGTATGCTCGTAACTTCTACGGCGGAAATGGAATCGTAGGAGCGCAGGTACCGCTCGGAGTCGGAATTGGCATGGCTGCCAAGTACAACGGTTCGAAGGGAGTTTGCATCGCTGCCTACGGAGATGGTGCTGCCAATCAGGGTCAGTTGTTTGAGGTTTACAACATGGCTAAGCTGTGGGGTGCGCCGGTCATTTTCGTGTGCGAGAACAATGGCTACGGTATGGGAACCAGTGCGGAACGTGCCTCGGCTAATGTGAACTACTACACCAGGGGAGATACCGTGCCCGGAATCTGGGTTGACGGTATGGACGTTTTGGCCGTTCGTGAAGCTACCCAGTTTGCAATTGAGCATTGTAACAGCGGAAAGGGGCCGATTCTGCTGGAGACGGCTACCTACCGCTATTCGGGTCATTCCATGTCCGATCCAGGAACGAGCTACCGATCGCGTGATGAAATCGCCGAAGTCCGTCAGACTCGTGATCCAATCACGTCGCTGCGGGAGAAGATTCTGACAAACGAACTGGCCACCACCGAGGAACTGAAGGAAATCGAATCGAAGCTCCGGGGCGAAGTGGATTCTGCGACGAAGGCAGCAAAGGCCGATAAGGAAATCGCAGTCGATGAGCTGTGTGCGGATATCTACGCTAAGCCGGATAATACCACCGCTATTAGGAATACGATGCCATTGATGGAACTCTCCCACAAGCGCCTTGGTAAGGCAGTGAACCTGTGAAATGTTTCCCAAACTGCCACGAGCATCACTTCCATTATTGATATTGAAGGGAATGGAAGCAAACGAAACATGTTTTAATCTCATAAGCGCACGATTAGGTTGATTTTATTTTAGCTCAAAGCAAACACGATCACCCATTTACGATCGGTATAGCAAAGACGCGCCGATATCGATCATAAAATTTCAACGAAAAACAAACATTCTATCCAATAAACAACCACAACACACTCAACACGGGTTTCCAGGCATTTAAGTTTGTGTTTCTGTTCTTGTAGCGATTATTGTTGTTCGCGCCGCTCTTTGTAAAAATAAGGGTCATTCGAATATCAGTGCAAATAAACTCTATTGAAAATAGTAGGTACACACGTTAGCATTTTATTAACGCTCTCACAGTTCCCTCCTCTTCACTTGCCAAAAACAAGCGAAACCAATCATCGACTATGCCGCACCAGTTGCATTTCCAGATGATGCAAAATGGAACTGTGCCAGACTAGATACAGCACCAGCAGAGCGAAGCCCACCTTCAGGACCCGATCAATCAGGATCAGTCGGTTCATCTTCTTGGCCGCCTTCGGAATGGTTTCGTCCGGATCGTTCAGCAAGTACCGCCGGACGCCCATCCAGCATTCAAAGTAGAACTGATCTATCTTCTCCTCCGATAGGTGCCAGCTGAAGGTTTTGCTGAAAAAAAAACCATTATTCTGTGTGCTAATTTTCCAAAAGCAACTTACACATCATCACCCTGCAGTTCATCCCTCAACGATCGAAACCGCTTGGTTTCGAAAATCCACTGATTGTACACAAAGTACCGCAGGGACGCCTGCGCTAGGAACACCTTACGTTGGATTTTCATCAAGCTAGAACAAAAATAAATCGCATTGAAGCCACTTCACTCCCTGACCCAACCACCAAAAATACTCACAACGGCTTCTTCCCGCTGATCAAGCACAGTGCATCTACCAATAGGGCCGGCAGAATATGCGCCAGTAGCACCATCACATAGTACTTGAGGCGCCACGTAGTCGCGCTACCACCTGGAACCCACAGCAGCTTCGTAAACGACAACCGGGTCATGTTCGCCTTCCCACAGTCCAGCATCTTCTTGTACTGCCACGAGTGTTCGTACTCGGCGGCGCTGTTGTACACCGGTAGGTAATCCCCCCGGAAGGTATGTTCTTTGGTTCCACGCTGCCATGCGGCCAGCAGCAGAGCTTTGATGGAAATATCCGCTGGGATGGTGTTGGCGCGATTTTCCAATGGCATCAGGTCCGTCCGAACGATTCCCGTACCGGCTCCGAGCAACATCCCCGATGGCCCATTCAGGTTGTCTATCCAGCCGACCAGGGGTTCATCGATGGTGTTTACCACCACCGAGGGGCGGAAGATGACCAACGGGAGCTGGCTCTGATAGTCCTTGCAAACCTGCTCGGCCAGGCCTTTGGTGAAGGTGTACGTGTTGGGGGCGGAGTTGGTGATCCTGAGTGAGTGGGTAAAGATAATTATTAGATCAGCGTTTGCGGAGACGGGGTGGTTCCGAACTATGAGGCATACTTATCTGTTAAAATATTGAGAACTTGATGATCGAATTGCAGAGCGCATTCGAGCATTTTCTTCCAATCAGCTTTAGGCGAGTATAACTGCAGCGAAATATGGAAATGTTACAAGAATTAATGAGTGGATGGAATGCAAAAGTTTAACATTTTCTCTGCTTTGAAAGTTGATACATTATCGTCAAACGAAAATTGATTCAATAATTCTAATTATTTAATGGTTTAGAAGAGTTTTTACAAATAATAGCCATATATAGGACAAGGTGGGGTAAAACGCACTTTGGCGTTATATGACCAACAGCGTTTTTTCTCGAAATATTAAAAGGCTAATTGATATTAGCAATTTCCCAGATGACTGTTCTGCAGCTAGTGATTATGGGTGAAACTCAGTGAACCGGTCCACTTTGTCGCTTTTCCCAGTTTTTCGGCCTTTTGATAATTTGTTTTTTTTTTAATAAATTAAATTACATTTTTAAAGTAAAGTTACAATAACTATTATTCTGCATCTTCGATTTAAACTAGAATGAAAGCTACATAATAGCCATTCGATTTCCGCAATGAAAATTAAAAAAAAAAACTTAAAATTTGGGTATCTTTATTTTTATGATTGCATGAGTGTGTAACGACGATTTAATGACAAGATGGATTCATTTTTTGTGAATGCGGACCATTCAACGAGGTGACTCAGTTGTAAGCGCAGAAAGACTTCAGATGCTGAATGAGAGTGAAAGAAAAGATATTTAATTAACAAGATATCCCACTAATCAATTCCTCAAACTAGGCAATGAATGCACCACCATTATGTGATCACAGTGCCATCTGGTGAGTGCACATTGAAGCTGTTGGGAGTCCCCCGCCAAATTCGCCACCAGGGCTCAATAAATGACAGGTGTCAGTATGACATATGCCAGCGCGGACGTTGATGATAAACCGAGGGAAGAGGATGATCGATGTCATCATCATTATATTGCGATAGAAATATTCTCACTTCACTAGATATGATTGCATCGATTTTAAATCATTACCACGTTAAACGCAGTAGAAACGCTTGAGAAAACAATCACAAATCCAAGCTCACATCATGATGGGCTTGTAATATATTTTGCGCTTTCGAGTGAACAAGTTTCCAATGTCACCACCGGTATCAGTAAGATGCATTGTTTACAAACACCACTAGCAGGTAGGGGAAAATTTCCCCTATTTGATGGTAGTGTTAGCATGCGCGGGTGAGCTACCAGTTACGCCCAATCGACGATCAAATGCATTGTTTATAAAAGCTGATACGTCCCTTTGAAAAAGTAGTCAAGAATTGATATTTTATGAAGCTGTTGCTCAACATAATCTTTGTAAGCATAGAAGTATATGTACATGGAAAAAAACGTAACGTATTGAAGTCAATGCTAAACAAACGTGCCATCTTCCTTGGCCAACGCAGCACGCTATTGGCTATTCACAAATTACGTTGGAATAATGATAACTTTTCTATTTTAAAACGAAGGTATTTTTCAATGACGGCGAATGAAATCGGAAACTGCCTAAGCTGAGTGATGACGATGAGTGATGACACCGCTTCGTGTTTTGATTTGCGCTGTACTCTCCGCTCAGTGGTGTGGGTTCGTACATGTATAGATGATGGTGTGCGTGTTTTCTTCCAACGCTGCAGTTCAACGTTGTATCGTCACAAACCTATTGGCGCTGTTATCTGTCTCTATATATTCCAAAGAGTGAAAGGGGTCTGAAGAAAATGATAGTTAGCTTTAAAGCTGGGTTTAGACAGGGCAAGTCAATTGATTAAGTCAGTTGAATTCATCTGACTTGAACGCGAATTGAACGTGTAAACCATGTCATTCAACTGACTTGATCAACTCACATGAATTGAAAAAAGATGAACCAGGCTCAACTTTTCAAGTCAATTGAATTCAACTGAGTAGATCCTTTGACGTGCCTAGTCTAAACCCAGCTTAAGGATTCGCCGATTCGGTGTCTTTCGTTGTGTGTTCTACTAAAACTGAAAAATTACGCCTAAATCACGAATCACTCAGGCAGTCTTGCAGTACCGACAAACCGACATGAATGACCATCAAATTTCTGAACTGTAAAGCTGGGTTTAGACAGGGCAAGTCAATTGATCGACTCAGTTGAATTCAAGTGACTTGAAGCCATGTAAGCCATGCCATTCAACTGACTTGATCAACTCACTTGAATTGAAAAAAGTTGAACCAGGCTCAACTTTTCAAGCCAATTGAATTCAGCTGAGTTGATCATTTGACTTGCCTAGTCTAAACCCAGCATTAGAGCGGAAGGGAGAGAAGTAGGAAGTAGTATAAAGTCGATATCCCTTTTATTTCATTGCACTCGCAGCTCAGCTGTGGTGCTATTTAGATAGAGGAGTGCGCAGCTTAGCTACTTCTGCATGCTGCTATGAAGAGGCTAGCGTCCGCGTCTCTTACAAGGACCAGGGTTACTAATGGGCAAGGAGGAGCACGGGTTAGTGAATGCCACCCACCGTCTCTTATAATTCAATAATACATTATTTTATCATTTCTGTATACGTCAAAAGACGATCTAAGAAATTAAGGAAATAAATACAAACTATAGCAAAGTCCTGCAAATTTAAATGAATTTCGTGAGCTTCGGAAAAATTTAATAACGTTCAGAGAAGTTCACAATACAACACTAAATTTCTTTTAAAAAAATTTGGAATTTCTGCTTACATGCGATTTTCCCACGAATTCGACAAGCTTATCAAAGGTTAGCATCTTTGACAATCATTGAATAATTCTGATGATTGCTGAATTACAAAAAAGTTTCAAAACACACGTGAAATACGCAGAATTTAAGTGAATTGTTTTGAACTTTTCTGAAGCTCACAAGAATGTTTGAAGTTCACAAATGTAATTATTCCAAAGACCTTCAATCAATCAAATAATGTTCTCTGAGTATTTTATCACTCTTCTGGTTGATAAGTACTTATTCTGAAGATTTCGAATTGTCCAATAGCTCAAATCATGCCTCTAAGATATTCTTGCAAGAACGTCGGTTGATCAAGAATAATAATAATAATAATCTGCAGGGTAGCCACCCAACCGGCAAAACCGGGAGAACCAAAAAATAACCGGGAGAACCAAAAAATAACCGGGAAATAGCCGGAAAAATGAATTCAATCTTACAATATTTTTGTACATATTTTGATTGAGTTCTGTTAATGTGTTAACTAAATGTTCTGTTTCCTTTACTGTACTGACTTGATTTGATTTTGGGAATAATAAGCAATCTGCAGAATAATGATTGCAGTAGGCCGCGCTTAAAAACTGACGTGTTTTTCGTCAGCGAATTAAACACATTTTGGCTTTAAATTTGTTAGTTTGTGTGCTGAAATTTAGTTTCAAGTGTTCATAAAGTTATCATTTAGTGATATATCGTGTTTTGCCTGTGTTTGCCTTGAGTGGTTCGGTTGGTCTTGAATCTAACCTCCAAAATATACAACGCAGATTCAGTTCCATTGTTCGGTGTCGATTTTCATTGCCTCCTGGGTGCCCGGTTTTCTAAGTTCAGATGCTACACTTTCGGTGTGTAGTGCTATTGAGATATCGGTCCGGTTGGTGAATTAGCCCGGGAGCGTGTTGATAATGTGTCCGTCGCGAATTTTGGTGGTGATTCGGTAGCCGACGTTGCCGTGCCAGGTTTGAAAATACTATTTTCGAACCTGGAAGCGTGTATGTAATACCAATATCCATTTGTCATTAGCAGCGATATGGCTCTCGTTCGGTTTTGCTGAACGTTCTAG